TATCTTAAGTACAACACACACATTAACAAACATGTTAAGCAAACACATAGTTTTATCAACCTAAGATAGATTATTTTGTTACTAAAAGGAAGTTGACAATCTTTGCGACCTGAAACGCGAGATCCCAAAATAGCTATAGTGCTGCCACTGTATTAGTATTTCGTAATAATTCACTTTTCTTTCTATCTTCTTTCGTTTGATATATATATTACACAGTAGAATTTCGATAATCCGAACAATTGATTGCAGACCCGATTCGAATTACTGAATTATTCGGATTATTGGATTATTTTTTATACGTGAAGGTATATAAGAAAAATGCAAATTTCAATAAAAAACCAAACATGATATAATTTATTAATAATAAAACAAACATTTAACTCTTAATGATATGCATATTTACTTTAAGAAGTTACAAAAAATAAAGTTTTTTTACGATTTAAAGAAATCTTTTATATTTGTTTGCTTAACATTTTTTGTGCAAAGCTTCAGCGCTTCATCTCGCAAATCAGTTAAAAATAATATTTTCTCTTGCTCAATATCTTTTTGCTGTGCCCATAAAATAATCTTTTTTAAATTTTCAACTGCTTCAGCATTTGATATTTTCACGCGGAGTGCTCGAGATAAAGAAGAAAAGCGAACAAGAAAATCGACCTCTTCTTCGAGCGCGTGATATACCTCCACCTTGCGCTTTTCTGGTGGAGATGCACTGCATGCCTTTGACCTGGGCCATGCATCCATGTGGTAAGAGAGCCATTTTGGTCCGTGCCACCAGAGTGGGGAATTTGCCAAGTCCTGCGGTTTGCAACCACGGGTGCCGAGGTCGGCTGGATTGTCTTGGCTGCCAACATGGCGCCATGTACCGGTTGGAAGATATTCCCGGATTTGGGAGGTACGATTGGATACATACGTCTTCCATGTACATGGTGGCTTTCCAAGCCAAGCTAGCACAATCTCTGAATCTGACCATAAGAATGTGTTGCACGATTCCAATTTGAGCTGTTTTCGACTAGTTGCGACCAGTTTTGCGAGTAAGACTGCAACACACAGCTCCAGGCGTGGCAAGCTTACCGTCTTCAATGGTGCGACTTTGCTTTTTGCAGCCAAGAGAGTGGAATATCTTTGGTTGCTAGCATCTGCGCGGATGTAAATCGCAGCGCAATATGATTTTTCCGAGGCATCACCAAACCCGTGGATTTGGGTATCTTGCCCCGGAGTGAAATTAACCCATCGAGGGATTTCGATGTGGCAGATGGCTGGCAGATTTTCTGCGAACTGTTGCCATTTTGCCAAAGATATAGGTTTGGCACATTCGGCCCAATCAACGCCATCTAGCCAAAGTTCTTGAAGAAGAATCTTTGCTTGAATCATCACTGGCGATAGACATCCTGCCGGGTCAAAAAGTTTTGCGACAGAGGATAAGATTTGTCGCTTTGCGACGGCATTCGATGTCGATGCAGGCAGAATGGTGTAGGAAAACTTATCGGTGAGTGCGTTCCATTGTATACCAAGGGTTTTAGTTGTGGAAGCGTTCTCAAATTTCAAAAAGTTGGAGTCGAGAAGATCCTCCTTTGGAAATTTTTCTAAAATGGCCGGATGATTGGCCGTTAGTTTCTTGAGTATGAAACCAGCTGACTTAAGCGCTTTGATCACTTGAAAAAATGATTCAGTGGCGTTGTCAATATCATGACTTCCGGATAGGATGTCATCCACATACGTTTCGGTTTTAAGTATTGTGGCAGCCAAGGGAAATGTCGCTATCGTATCATCTGCTAATTGATGCAGGGTACGGATAGCGAGGTATGGTGCACAATTAACGCCGAACGTTACGGTTTTAAGATTATAATCGGTGACAGGAGAGTCAGACGACGTGCGAAACAAGATTCGCTGAAAATCTTTATCGTCCTCGTGGATGAGTATTTGACGATACATTTTTTCAATGTCACCATTCGAATCTGTGCATTCGCCACTGCAGAATGAGCGGCATGAGATCTGGCTGGAGTGTGGGACCAGTGTGCAACACGTCATTCATTGATTTTCCTGAACCAGATGTTTTTGAGGCGTTGAATACCACGCGAACTTTTACCTTATCGGGTTTAACGAACGCATGATGTGGCAAGAGAACGAGAAGTATTTGCCATTAGCTATTATCTCGCATGGCTTCGTGTGCTCCATATGGCCGAGGTCGAGATATTCTTGCAACACATTGTTGTACATTGTGCTAAGTCTCCTTTTTTCTGGAGCGGTCGCTCCATGCTAAAAAACTGCTGAAGTGCAGCAGACCGAGAGTGGCCCAGAGACAGCTTTTTTGGAAATTCTTCCTTGAATGGAAGTCGCACAATGTATCGACCGGTTGGGGCACGAGTCGTTGTTGTTGCATATATGTAAAACTGACGAAGTGGCAACCATCTAAAGAAGGAGAAATCAGCTGACACGGAAAAATCTAAATTCCGCAGATTTCTGCGCTACGGGCTACAACTACAGAAAAATTCTGCGGTGTTGAGTTTTCATTTACATGGCGCTTTGGTAAGACAGATCGTGTCAGCTGACTCGGGTTTACGTACCGGTAGGTTTACGTTCTTGACTAATTTCAGCTTTAGTAACAAAATAATCTATCTTAGGTTGATAAAACTATGTGTTTGTTTAATAATTAAGTTAAATTACATATAATGTAGGTATTGGTATGAGCTTGCAAATGTGAAAAAAATTTGATTCTTTTTTCCTGTCATCCGTATTTATCCTGTATATCGAGCTCGAAATCTTTTCGACAATCTCGTAAGGTCCAATTCGCAATTCATCTAACTTGTTTCTGTTTAATTTGTTTCCATTTTCCACATACACCATATTGCCTACCTCAAAATTATAGTTTTTTTTCGATTTTTATCATACACATTTTTATTGTATTCATGTGATTTTTTTGTATTTTATTTCCAATTCTCTGTCTTTCATCCAATCAATTTCCGAACGGTCTTGTCTTAATTCTTTTGGGATTATTGAAACATCTGTTCCATAAAGTAAATATCTTGGTGCATACCCAGTAACTGAATGTTCTGTGTCGTTGTATTTATTC